ACACTGATATTTTCAGTTTTTACATGCATTTGACCACATATCGTATTGAAATAAACTAAATTGTTAATCGATTCGGAATCCTAATATACAAGAACTATTGAAACTTAAAAAAATGATCTTAAATAGCAATATACATTTTTTAACGCAACTACGAATCAAAATACTATTTAAATACATTGAACAAATAGTCAATTATTTTTCCTTCTCAATACATTTTATGGTACATTTTAAGTTACTTTTGTTTCCTATTTGTATGTACCGATCAAACCAATTTGCGGTCTTTATAAAATTTATATAACTAAATTTCCTAATAAAATTATAGAAAATAACATCCATCGTCGACGCATTAATGAGCATGTTATTCTATCTAGCAACCCTAGATAGAATTAGTATAATTCAATTTAAACGAATGAAGAAACATGTGACAATTTTCACTTATTCTCTCGTCACTTGTATTCGTGTTCGCGTTAATTGTTTAAAGTTTTAACTAGATCCACACATAAGTTGTACATTATACGAATTGCTCTGAACTAGTAGCACTAAGATCAAGTAAACGCCATGCAGCTTTTGGATTAAGTTCTGTAGGATCACGACATAGTACCCAAACATAGTTGACGCGCATTACTTTCTCAGGATCACCTTCTACAACTTTGTTCTTGACATCTCTCACACACATAATTTGTTGGCACTGAAAGCTAATCATTAAAACTGGACCTTGCTCCATTACCTTACCCATTACTAAATCTATGTTATTTATATCTGAAATTAAGCAAATTTTACTTGTTATTAAATATAACATCGCAGAAAAAAGAACAAGTAATGGTTTTTAAAACAAAGAAACATACCTAGGATTTTACTGTCTAAATGATATCTCAATTTTTCTGCTTGCTTCAAAGGTTGAGCTATTAAATTGTATGGAGCTTCATGACACCAATCTTTTAAAATTTCAAGATTCCCCTGTATCATAGCTTCAAGAATATTTGGTATAATATCTGTTTCGCAATCTCTTAAAAATTGTACTCTGTCAAAATTGGGGTCCAATTTACAAATTTCTGTCAATGTTTCTGAAAGTTCTGTTTTTTGAAACAGTCCACCCATTATATCTGTAACTTTATCTGTCAATAGTCTGGAAGCACGAATTACAGGATTATCTGATTCTTCATATTTCAGTTTCCAATCCAGTACTTTATTCACATATGGATTTTTATCCTTCAAAAAATATAATTATCTGATAAGAGTACTAATTGTTATTTGATATTTAGTACACTAAAATGCGTACCTTAAAATTTTGCCATGATTGGTAAAATTTTGAGTCTTTATGTAATTCAACTCCCATAGCTTCCATATTTGGTGAAACACATTTATCATCTTCAACACGTATAATATCTTTTCGTTTTCTTAACTTTTTAGGTGGAACATAAACTCTTCCTACAATTATCATTAAAATAAGAAAAATTACGTTCTCACGCATTTACATATTCGATTGTTAAGACTAAATACATTTATTCAATACCACGCATTCCTTGATGATCCAATTCTTCTCTTACAGCTTCTGCTGTTTGTGATATTGTTTGGAACGCGCTCGTTTTTCCTAAAGCTTGGCTTTTTTCTGTGATAGTTTCTGCTGCTCCTTTAGCAGACTTTGATATTTCTTCACCTAATTGTCCAGCTTTCTTACCTAATTCAGTTTTACTTGCTTCCTCAAGAACTTCTTGTACCTACATGGTACAAGTAAAATTTATGCAACGTTTAAACAATTCCTACCAATACAGAAAAGAATAACTGGTTCCACACCTTTTCTTTCAAAGAACCTAGTTTTTCTTTTAAAGCCTCTGAACCTTTACTGGCTTCGGATTCAACAGCTTGAAATTTTTGTCTTGCTGATCGTAATGCTTCAGATTGTTCGAGCTTTTCTGCTTCTTCTCTAAATTTTTTTAAGGACTCCTTCATTTCCTTATTCTTTTGCATCTCCTGCTTGATATTCTCGAAAAATTGAGAAAAGAAGCTCGGTCTCCTTGCAGGGTTTGAATATAATCGAACCTAGACAAATAATCATTAACTGCATGTAACTATTCATTTTACAATGTTTAAAATAAGACTCACCGATAAATCTCGAGCATTTGTGGTTCGACATAATTGAGACTGCAGCAATGTATTATAACTACGTATGACTAAATTATCCGTGGAGCCATTTCCAAACTTCTTCTTAGATTGTGCCGAACGTGTGGCTCCAATCAGACTGGCCCTACACATTGCAAGATTCTGAAACTGAAATAAAAAATATTATTCAAACATGTATTTCTGCTTAATTTAAATATATGTGTTATATAATTTTCACGACTTTTTTTATATGAACGGAATAAGAGTAGTTTCTCATAGAATTTACTACCATTGCTTTTCAATAATACATATTCATGACAAAGTATTAATCTCTGCATAAACTATGAGTAATGTACTCATAATTATTAATATTATATGGTAATACATTTTCTTAATTTGTGACTATTTAACTGATTAAAGTGTAAAATGAAAATAAAAAATATTTTGGCTATTACGAAATCTTTGAATTACATGATGTAATGACATGAGAACAGTGTGCATTATGTTGTAGCAAAGAACATAACCTCATGCAATGCATGAAAAAACGACCGGTTTCCAAAAAAGAAAATACTGAATTTATATTTAACAGGAAAGATAATGAATAAGAACATGTAATTTTTATTTTTACGGGACTAACAAGTAAATGTTCAGTTAGTAATTGATATCATTTACCATTTTACGACTGATTTATCTGTGACGGCATTAAAAATCTTCATAAACCATACCATGTACTACTTTAGGAAGGACATCTGTCGACAAAAATTGTAACATGCTAAGACACGCAAGCAATAAAGTTATTTTTATTTTTATAATAAATAAAAAATATAATTCATATAAACTCTCATAATAAAATGTATTTACTTGCTTTCTCATCAAAATAGTTTACTTTAAATGTACAGTTCAAAATGTTAGCACAGAAGATACCATAATTACAACTCCACAAAATTTTATTTTTTTAATATATGATTAAATATACATATTATGATTTTAATCCCGGTACTCTGTACAGAAATGCTCCATCAGCATCGTAATAACAATCCTTAACTCTGTACGTCATACCATGTTTCCATACGTTTTTAGGAATTTTTATAGGTTTCACATATTCAAATTCTGTATCTATATCTGTTTTCCATTCCTTTACATAAGTATCTATACTGTTACTGCGTTCTGTATTTACTATATTTGCTACTTCAGTCTGAATTTCATTTTCTTTAACTGTTGGTACATTCTTTGTTGGAACTACATTTTCTTTATTTTCTTGTTCTACAAAGCTGCTAGATTTATTAGACTTTGCATCTTCTAAATTAGTTGATTCCACATATTTTCTATACGTTTGCAATAATGTTATGCTTTCTTCTGGGGACGTGTTATACAATTGTTTCAATTGTACTTTGATAAATTCGTCGAAAGTTAATATCTTCTTAACTGCAATAGACTTTGGTTTATCGGTCTTTGTACAGTCAGAGTTGTTTACCCATGTAATAGACTTTTCTGCATCATTCTTCTCTTTAGGATACAATGTTTGTTCACTTTTATTTATTTCATTTTTAGTAGAAATCAATTTCTGATTGTGAAAATGAATTTCTGATTGTTTTTGATTGTTTGAAATTTCTGATTGTTTCTCGTTTACATCTTTTAGGATGCTTGAAAATGTTGAACTTTTTGGCTTTGGAAATTCCATTTTTAGAGACCCAAACATTTCTTTTAATACCTCCCTATCAGGTATAGCGATTTTTCTGTCTTTGAATTTCATTAAATGTTCACGTAGAACAGGATTTACTACTAGTTTACCAGTTTTAAAATTCTTCCAATTCTTGACAACTCCAGTGTCATATTTAATAATGCTATCTAGTGATTTAGGTATCCATTTTGCCTTTAAAACACTTCTGATTGTTTCAGGTAAGGCTGGAAAACTCATACTTAATTTTTCCGGTGTCCATTCCATTGGGTCACTTTGGTGCAATTTTCGTATTTGATCTTTTTCCATGAATGTAAGGAATTTTGGTTCCACTTCTTTAAAATACTTCCTTTTAACGATACGTTGTTTCAATTTCTCTTTAGACATTTGCAATTCTCTAGTAACATATAAATAACTGTCATTAATCTTTTTTTGGACAAATGAAACAATTTAAAATGTAAATATGAAATACATTATGTTTATTATGATTCTTGAATATATACCTTTGGTGCATTGTATGTGATTTCCCAACGTCCATAAAGTCAGATGTGTATGCATCTAAATCTTCAACATTAGTTTCTTCTGTATCATCTGGTAATTGTGATATTTTCTCTAATCTAAGTCGTCCTCGAATGCCAGCAGTTCCAGAAGCAGGTTTGGAACTGTATAATCTTATTAACTGAAAAGCTAATATCCTAATGCTGTTCATTTTAAGCCTACTTTCTTCTCGTTTTCTGTTTTTATTATTTACACGGATTTTTATAAGTATACACAGTATCTAATTCCTAACAATATTACAAAATATTAGCACTGTTATACTTATGTATGTATTTATTGTGAACGAGAAAACATAAATGTATTGGCGATAAAAATGTGTAATTATTTATAATATGTATTTATAAATAATTATTATATTTCAACAACTGTATATTGTGATATTTTTTCTATTATTAATAACGTGTGTGATCCAACAATATTCGTAGCGCCATCTGATACCTTATGATATATACCTCGTTTGTGCTTCTACTTTCTAGATATTCATAGTATGTATACATATAAACCACGTACAGGTAGCGATAGTAACACATATGTACATATGTATATATATATATATTGTAGCATATGTTGATAATGTAAATTTTTATATTATCAAATCTGTTAGTTTTCTATATTATCGATAATTTTAATATTGATTAGTTATTAAATTATATTAATAAAGTT